CCCACTTCCGCCCCAGCTATCACGACACTCATTTCGATGCCAACATATGCGACGGTTTATCTCCGGTAACATCAATTATACTAATATCCTTATAATTGACTGGATCAGAACTTTGTTGAGCACGACTTTCTTTTAAAACATTCCATTATCACGATTTGTTCGAATTTCTTCTTGGTTTGGCTGTTTCTCGATATTTGACCCCTCTTGTACGGGGGAAACCGAGTCTGTTTTATTTTTTGGGATTTTGCCTTTGCGTTCTTCAGTTGCTCTGGCCGCTGCAGGGACTGGGCCATAAGGGGACAGCTGGCGTCCCCCCTCGTGAGGCTTGTCCCCTCCGTAGGCCTGAGGGGACGGCGAGGCGCACGGGGACGGTCGGGGACTCAGCGACGGCCACACGTCATCCTCGTCCCCAGCAGCGTTGAAGGCCGTCACCTGCGTGAGGCCGTCCGCCAGGCTCGCCTTGTACTGCTCGTCAACACGTCATCTCAGTGAGGCACTTACCTCACGTCGTGGCCTCGGTCGTACATGCTTAACAGCGACCATGAACTTAGAATGCTACCATGAACTATGACCTTAGCATGCGACCATGAACATCAACTTGGTCAATTCCTGCTCGTCAACACGTCATCTCAGTGAAGCACTTACCTCACGTCTTGGCCTCGGTCGTACATGCTTAAAACGTGACCATGAACATCAACTTGGTCAATAGTAATCTTCTAATTTCCTTCTGAGTCTAACACGTCAACACGTCGTCTGAGTAAATCACTTACCTGGCCTTTTGATGAAAGTCATGGTAGCCAAAAATATGGCCGCTTCTGATTACAGAAACACTGAAACTTTAAATAGAAGCTGATAGTGCTTGACTGCACCAGCTGATCGACAAACTATATACTCATTTGCCTCGTAACCACAATACTTTTGTCCCTGATTATTTGCACTCAACAGCCCCTGATTGACGAGCCCAGTCAATCACCAATGTGGGCAACGATGTCGATTAGTGTGGGTTACTGCATATCGCGGGTGATCCGACCGCTCGAAGATTTAGAAGTAGAATTTCCTTGAATAATCTATGCAGATGCATGGCGAACTGTCGACTGTGGGTTTATCGTTGCAGATCGAAGTATCTGAGTGTGGGCAACTTTACAGAGCAAACCGAAAAATTCATGCGAAAACATGTCGATTGGCTATTCAATCTAATAGAATAATTGATCGGAAATTGATATGCACTTTAATTTATGATTACCCAGTTAAAATTTTATTCAAAATTGCGTTCAATCTAGTTCAATAGTTAGCATGCGCTATGTCGGGTAGATTTCTGATGTCAGTTACGATTATTATACCACGTAATTATTTTAATACTTGGAAATACGTAAGTGTTTTACTAGCTTTCCAAGTTTGAACGCTTCTGCAAAGAGGAACGTTTAAGCCTTAATGTTACCTTGACCTTAATAATGTTCAGGAGATATAGATTAGTTTGCCTTAAAATTTTTTTTCTAACGTGAGTGTAAAGAAAACGTTTTTTACATGCATGATATAAATCCCATGCTATCGACTAACAGTCGTACAAATAAACTGCTTCAAAGCTTAACTACATTTTTATTTAAAAAGATCCCATCATAAACTTCTTCAAAGTTCATATTCAAAACATTTTCTTACAGCTGCTCTAGCATGCTCCATTAACCATGACAAATTTGCATCAGTTTTTCAACGAGGCTGATTTGAGGGAATAAATAATTGAGAAATAAATTTCGATGTAAATTAATCAGCTCTAATACAAAATTTATACAAACTAGAGAACTTACTTGAAAATAAATTTAGGAAATATAGAAGTAACGGCATTTCGATTGCCCGAAAATAATAAAAAGTGGCAAGAGAAATAGTGCTTGTCTCCTTTACAATACGAGTAATATTATTTTATCGATTGAATAGAAACTGCGTTCATTCCTCTAAAATATATATAAATGAATAATCTTTAAACAGTTCCACCACAAATGTGGCTATTCCTCTATAATTCACCTGACGCTTGCAAGCCATTCGTTTCTTAGTTACAGTATGTAGTTGATAGAGCTCGCTGTGGTAAGGTGTCTTGGTGTGGGCTGAGGCATAAACTTGGACGCGAATTTCCCGCGTTCGAATCTCGGAGCTGCAGTCAACGTTTATCCGGTAAGAGAACTTAGCTGTGAATTACTTGTAACTTCTCTATATCATTAGTAATTGAATTTGTGAGATTGTAATTGATATATACGATGCAAATGTGCGACAGCAAAGACCATAAAATCTGACATGTCATAGTGAACGGTAACGTGTCGATGATCTCGGAGAGAGAGAAAAAAAATTTTATGGATTAGACATCGATTAATGTAGATTCGACATCGATTAATGCAGATTCGACTTCAGCTAGTGTAGATTCGACATCGATCGGTGCAGATTATTCGGTTCAACAAGTTATCAGGTGCAGAAACTTCGACGATCTTCGCCGAATCTGCATAGAAAATTCCTCAATAATCGTCGTTGCGCCCCGCGACATTGCCCTCTCCGTTGCCCACTCCAAATGGAGATTTGCCCATGTTGATCGAGCAAGAATCTGCATTAATTTCTTCATCGATCCGCCCTAATCTTCATCGATCGATCAAGACCTGATTGACTGGGAGGTCACTTGTCGAAATCTCAACAACAAACTTGACTGTGTTTTCTGACCGATATCGCTGTGCTGAGCTGCATAATTAATTGTTGATCAGCTCATCGTTTCAATGAAGTACTTAATTATCACTTCAATAATTCGTTATTATAATTTATAGGTATGTTGTAATTTCTTCATTGTAATTTTTAGTTCTGTAATTCATGAATGTCCAGAAGCAGCTGTCCCGCCAGCCAAAGCTGCGGTACTATCTGTCAAACTGCTGCTCGTACGCAATATCTTGGATGTCAACCTACCAGAGGCCATACTTTCAAAACTCGCTAACTGAACGTAAGTACTTACGCTCTATTTTCTTATCTAGGATTGGTGGATTTTTCTTGGAAGGCCGTCAATGCGTGGCTGATGAACTTACGATCTCTTAACTTTTTCTGAAAGTATAGGCCCAGTTCTGTTGGTGACGTCACACACACCTCGGCACGGCACTGAGAAACGGAAATAACGCCACAAACCTCTCCTCGCCTGCAGTCTACTATGCATGAAAAATAAATCTTACAGTAGACAGCCTGGTAGACTAACAGATAAAAGGACAACGGAAGTAAAGGAATGAGTGAAAGAGACGATAAAAAACATAAAAACAGGAATGCACATTGCACATATTTTAAACTGAAAACAAACTTAAAAATTCTTAAACTATGAAAAAACCTACAACTTTACAATTAGAAGAAAACTATAAAGTATCAGGGACTGAGATCAAGTGAAAAGGCTGCTGCGGGATGCCTTTATTGTAAAAATTTAGGCCGCTATGATGAGGTCAGTATCACAGTGGCAGTTGTCGGAATTGGTTGGTCGGCAATCAATTCTTCGTTTATGTTATTTTTTTAAGTTAGGAGCTCTCTTTCACTGTGTTCTTTATTAACGTGTTCAACCAAGAGTTTGAGTCCTCTAGTGGTCACTCCAAATTTTCTAACGTCACATTAACTGATTCTCCTCATACGCCTGATAACCAAGGACTGTTATTCGACATGTGAAGAAAAAGCAGCCATGACAGGCCATGAGTTACAAATTTTCGTGCGAATTAATTAAAATCTTGAAAGACGCAATGCGAGGTTGAAACGAAAACAGTGGAGACTGTGCAGCTGAAACATAAACAGTTGAGACTGTGCAGCTGGAATGAAAACAAGTGGGACTGTGCAACTGAAACAAAAACAAATATGAGTGCGCAGATGGAGTGAAAAGAAATGGGTCTGTGCAGCTGAAACGGAATCAAATGGTAGTGCTCAGGTGGAGCGAGAACAAGTGAGACTGTGCAGTTTTAATAAGAATTGGTAGAAATTCGTAACTGTTACAAACTCAAGTGTTCATTCTTATCTGTAACAGTTACCATCAAAACTCTTTTATGTGAACGTAGCGGCCTGCGTACATGTAGCGGCCAATATGACGTTTATGATTAGTGGGATTAGCTCGAGAAGCCGTCAGTAATTTGACAGAGTAACGAACGTGTAACTACAATATATTTGATAGTACCGGTTCTTGCATGTCACATAAGTAGGTCTTGGATCACATATGTAGGTGCTGTATCATACATGTAGGGGCTGCATCATGTGAGTAGGTGCTGCATCATGTAAGTAGGTGCTGTATCATGTAAAAAGGTGCTGTATCGTGTAAGTAGGTGCTGGATCGTACATGTAGGGGCTGTATCATGGAAGTAGGTGCTGTATCATGTAAGTAGGTGCTGTATCATGTAAGTAGGTGCTGGATCATACATGTAGGTGCTGTATCATGTAAGTAGGTGATGTATCATCCCAGTTAAAATTTAGGGCAGGGAATAGAGCAGGCCGCCGCCGGCTGCAGAGCCGACGTAGGGACGCGACAGAGCCGCGATAGAGCAGAAATGTCCGCATTAGAGACGATATCGCCAGCCGCGTAGCAGCGCTAATTCACCTCTGAATACCTGCCTAGGTGTGCTCTGTCCTGCCGTCACGCAGCCCTCACTGAGCACCGCCTGCTCAAACCAGCCCAACGCCCGCTCTGGGGCGGCTCTGGCAGTGTATGCGGCAGTTATGCGTTACCGTTTGTCAACGATTTAAAAAATTTTTCCTTCGCTCTCTGAGATCACCTAGACTTCTCTCTTGCAATGACAGGTTGTATTGGCATTGATTTTTGACATTTATATCGTATTGACATTAACAATGGTATTTAGAAACTAACACATTCAATTATCGAGGAACTATATACATCAAACTACTCACTGCTATGAACTATCTGAAAACGTCGACGGTAGCCCCGAGAATCGAACGCAGATCCTCCGCGTCGTAGTCCACGCCTGTACCACCTTGGCCACGCGAACACCTTACCAGCTTAGGCTCTATGAACTACTTAACTAGAATACGGATGCCACAATACGTTTACGGCATTACGTTCAATTATCCTTCGTTGAACTTGATAGATATTATTCGTAATGCACTAATTTCAAGAAATGAACAAAGTAGCCATTCGTATGATCCCGTCAGTTAGATAAAAGTGAATATTAGAGCTAAATTTGTTAAGTAAATTATCCTATTGCATTAGCTTCATGTCATTCGATAGTTTGATAGGAAAATTAACAAAGCACTCAAATCATTAGTCTGCTGAAATAGCAAGTTCTCGAAGAGTTTTAATGCAAAGAAAGCGCCAAATAAATTCACCATATCTTCGATGAAAACGTTTCGGAGACCAGCACCGAAACGCAGGGATATTCGATCAATTTATAAACTGATGATGGTGCTGGCTTACACGTTTTTATTGATAAATGGTGAATTTCCTTGGTATTTTCTTTGCTCTAACATTT